ACATGATACGGCCCACCAGGCATGCTATAATGTGACCATTGGGCCCGTGCATGCCCCACAGGTGGTCCGTCACGGGCCTGACAAGCCAAAAAAAAGCCTATAAATACCCATAAATCCCACACAACATTCACCACAACAACTCACTCTCAACTCCTCATCTTACTCTCATTCTATCTCTCATCTTGTCTCTTTGATATTGATTCTTAGCTTTCTCTCTCGATTCCTAATTTTCTAGCTCTTTCATTTACAAAATTCAATCAATTTGAAGAAATCCCGCAAAAAAAGGTATTCTACTTATCAATTTTGTTACATAACAATATATTACTCAATGTTTATTTATATTTTTTATTGTTTATAAATGTTTTTTTAACATTAGTTTATGTTTTGTTTACAGAAAATGGTGGCATCAAATTTCCTTAATTTCCCTAATCTTGGAGATGAACCATTTTATGAGGATGAAATGTTGGTGCAAAACTCCAACCCCACTAAACCAGAAACTATTCTGGTTGATAATCAATCGGTGCATAACGAGGAAGTTGGAGAATGTGCCAGGAGAAAAAGACCGCGAACTGCTCCCGCATGGCAATATTTCACAGATGAGCCTTGACCAAATCCAAAAATATGTTAAATGGTAATTCGTGCGGTATGTAAATATTGTAAAAAACACTTTTCTAACAAAAGGAGTAGGGGTACTGGCTATCTTGATAGACATTGGAAAGCATGTCTACCGTTGCACTAAGGTGGTAGTGTGGACTCCCGCCAACAAACACTGTCACTAACATCACAAGGTTTATACAATTTCACATATGATGTACAACGTGCTCGTGAGGCCCTAGCTACATTTTTCGCTAGTGCCGAATTACCTTTGTCTTTTGCAGATGATGCAGCATTTGAAGAATTTATACAGACGGCCTTCTGTCCACAATTTAAACAAATTAGTAGAAACACAACTTGATCTGATTGCATTAAAGTTTTTTATGCTATGAGACAATCTCTAGTTGATAATTTTAGGTCTTTCAATGCTACAATATCTTGTACTTCTGATCTTTGGGAGGGGTGCAATAAAACTAGATATTTATGTGTCACACAAAATTATGTCAACGGGAATTGGGTTGTACAGAAGAGAATAATTGATTTTCGTTTATGTCCATTTCATAATGGAAATGCTAATTTTTAAACTATAATGGCAATTTTTAATTTTTATGGGATCGAAGATAAAGTTTTAACTATTACTTTTGATAATGCGTCAGTTAACACAACTGCAATTAACATGTGTTAAAGCTAATTTGAAACCACCTTTTGGTGGCGAAATTTTTCATCAACGGTATGCGTGTCGCATAATAAATTTAGTAGTACAAGCAGGAATTGAATCTATTTCCTCTCATTTAACAAAAATTAGAAAATCTTTATCCTTCATTTCTAGTTCTGGAGCTCGGCTCCAAGAATTTTGACAATATTGTAGGAACAGCCAGATGCGCCCAAGAAAGTTTTCAACTGATGTGAGACATATGTGAAACTTGTTGGGATCTATATGTGCCCTAAGGATAGAAAATCGACTCTAGGGATTTTCTGTAGATTGACATTTTGATATTAATAAAAGTGGTTATTCATGTTTAATAAGTGGTGTCCTATTTACTTTCATTTGTTGAATGTATGATTAATTGAGCAAACATAAATACTCCTAGGCTGTTGGTAACATATCGGATTACCGTTGTATATGGGGTATACATAGAAGACATGATAATTCGACAACAGTCTAAATAAAAGGTCCGCAATCGATGGAATAAGATTTGGGGATCTTATTCATGTTAAGATTGTAAAGGTTGTCTACTTCCTTGGAGGGATGGTTTGTCTTGACCATCGGATCGGTTCCGAGTAGAAACCTTGATGTATACCAGTATTGAGGTATGACATTGGACTGGACCTAAAATGTTAATTGATTCGGTTTAATAATTCTGTTTATAAGAATCAATGACACTTTGATTATCATCCTTCATTAATCTTAATCCTGAAATGGATACTTGAGTTCGCATCCATGACTCATGCACTTTGATCCACTATAGGTGAGACACTGATAATTGATGGTTAATATACTTGTGTGTTGGGTGTATGACATATGGATGGAGAAATCAAGATTCATAGATACGGAAACCATAGCCATCTAATAGATGGTAAATGTTATCTACTTGAAGGCATTATTTGGGGATTGAAAGACAGTATAACAAGGCCTTGGCTATCGGTTTACTTTGTGTCCTCTGGTGGTTTATCGATTGTATGGTTTTACAATCGGTGGTTCTTTCAATGGAGAATAATGGAACTTTAAGTTAAATTGATTGAAAAGGTAAAACGGAATAAGTCCTTAATTCAATCATGGATAACATATGGGGATTAAGC